CATTATTATTATTATTATTGTCATGAAAAGGTCATTTTAACCAGGTTTTCAGTTTTTGTAGTATATTATGTGGTAAATGTAGTGATTGTAGAAGAATTTAAAGTAAAGTGCATGTGTATTTGAGAGTGAGCATTTGTAGAGACAGACCATAATAGATGTTGTGGAATTTTCTCCCCAGAAATGACCAAAATAACACAATTCATTTTCTTCAGTCACCAATGCCCGTTTCCCTATGAGACCTGTGTGTAGGGAATCATGGTAGTTGTATGGTAGTATGTTAAGACTTGGTGTGTGATATTGTGTACAGCAACCGTTATTCACTGCAGGTGTCTCTCAGGGAATGTGGAAACATTTACATGTATATCGTTTTCAAATAAAATAGCAATTAAAATGTTTCGATCTCATTATTTAAGCTTGTAGATAGGCTCAACAAGTATGGATTTTGCCTGGAGAAATCCATGAAATATACTATCCAAGAAGAAATAGGGAAACATTTCCTGGATCATGTTGTACAACTTGTAAAGGAAGGGAGATCATTTGTGTTTGTGCTGGACAATGTTGATTGGGATGTCAAGGTGCATGACATGAGGTCTGACAAGCAAAACAGAAGTGTCCATGCTGTGGCCACCAGCCTGGTATTTGATCGTGTATCCTCTAGCCACTTACCAGACACTGGCCCAAAAGAGATTTTGGCAAATTGCAACCTCAAGGATATCTTAAGTCTCACTGATGAGGAAAAACAATGTACAAGGGAGTGGTACAAAGTGTTAATTGGATGAATCCTAGTTGAGTTCTTTCCGGCATTCGATTTTCTTAAGGATGCTGTCCCTGATCATACACCTTGTGAGTATCATGAGGAGATGAGTACCAAATCAGTTATGGTACCACTTCCGGTCCTACTCAAAGATGAAAAGAAGTATGCCAAGGTTGTTGATGTGCTTGACCAGCTTGAGTTCTGGACACATGAGATCTACAGTAAGGCTGGCCTATGCACTCCCACAGACCCAGACCATGTCCCACCTTGTCCTGCCATTGGAGCTCCTGCTAGACCGGATCAACCAGCTTCGCATGTACCACCAGCTCCCCAGATTGAAGATCCTCTGGCAAATGTTAAAATACCTTGTTATGGTGACCAGCTAACAAGAGTAAGATTTGCAGGTGCTAAAGATTTGCAAGCTGGATGCCACACACCACAAGACAGATTGGATCACCTGTATCCATTTAGAATAGTAGACTGGCATACTAAGAGAAGCTTCCTTAAGGTAAAACACCATATTAATGTTCCTTTTTATGAAAGGGAGACCTTGTTTGCATGCCTTTGTGACAGTTGTATTTTCATGTTAATAGATATTTTATTGCCAGACATTTATTTCATTATGCTGTAAGACAAAATTACAGCTTATTAGATATGCCCTTTTTTGTTCCCTTTAAGAGCCACTGCCCACAAATATGGACCAAACAACGGCACAAGTCGAAAAATCGATTTTGCTCATTTTTTGCCCAAAGATTGGCCCTAGCTAGAGAA